TATTATTATTATTACGTATTATTATTATTATTACAATAATACGTACATACTAATACGTATTAATAATAATACGTAATATTATTAAACTATAATCTAGTGCTTACTCATTACTTACCTTAAAATATTTGTAGTCTTAATATAGAGTGAGAGGCGAGTAAACAAGATTAAATGAATAAACGAGAGAGAGAGAATGAAAGTGTAGAAGGTTCGCGAGTTTTGTAAACAAACAAGTTGTTGTTACCAGCCTGAACATGAATGGTTTCTGTTCACTCTGTCAAGCCGACTGGAAAGACATCTCATATTTATGTTAATTTATATGTTACACAGCATGTTTATTATATAATTTTGAAACAAAAAAAATCAGATGGATTAAGTAAATTGTCTATATTAACGCTTTATACACATTTAATGTGCCTCAGTGATTATTATTGCATTATTATTATTATTATTAATATGGCATTTTCAAGACCAATAACACACTCTTAATGATTTTAATGTGTACCTACATGCCAGCACAGGTGCAAGATGTGGAGTTTAAAGCAGTTAAGTTTATTTTATTCATTCTAGAGTGTATATCAGATTTTTATGTTATTTACATATATTGTTTATTATGTCATATTAGATGAATTGTGATAGATAAATAAGCTGTATAACGATATTAGCATCATATTGAAGATGTGAACTCTGCTTCGTGTGTAATACCTGTTGGTTCATGAGCGGCTTAGAGACAAGCAGACAAAGACAGACACACAAGTAGACAGAAAGACATATACAGGCAGACAAATACAGACAGATTTATGTGCAACAGTGAAAATAAATAGAGTTCGAGAGTAAGAGCCTTTCATGCCTTCTTGCCACAATCTCCAGTGCAAAATTCAGACTTCCGCTTAGGGACCATGGTGAAATTCACTGTCCAGTTAGTACAGTTAATACAGTATGATGGTGCTGATAGGGCAGGGTAACTCAAACTGATGCTGCCTGCATGGCGCATTGCTGCCGCGAGTTTTTTTTTTTTTTTCAACAAGTCGGCCGTCTCCCACCGAGGCAGGGTGACCCAAAAAAGAAAAAAATCCCCAAAAAGAAAATACTTTCATCATCATTCAACACTTTCACCACACTCACACATTATCACTGTTTTTGCAGAGGTGCTCAGAATACAACAGTTTAGAAGCATACACATATAAAGATACACAACATATCCCTCCAAACTGCCAATATCCCAAACCCCTCCTTTAAAGTGCAGGCATTGTACTTCCCATTTCCAGGACTCAAGTCCGACTATATGAAAATAACCGGTTTCCCTGAATCCCTTCACTAAATATTACCCTGCTCACACTCCAACAGATCGTCAGGTCCCAAGTACCATTCGTCTCCATTCACTCCTATCTAACACGATCACGCACGCTTGCTGGAAGTCCAAGCCCCTTGCCCACAAAACCTCCTTTACCCCCTTTCTCCAACCCTTTCGAGGACGATTCCTACCCCGCCTTCCTTCCCCTATAGATTTATATGCTTTCCATGTCATTCTACTTTGATCCATTCTCTCTAAATGACCAAACCACCTCAACAACACCTCTTCTGCCCTCTGACTAATACTTTTATTAACTCCACACCTTCTCCCAATTTCCACACTCCGAATTTTCTGCATAATATTTACACCACACATTGCCCTTAAACAGGACATCTCCACTGCCTCCAACCGTCTCCTCGCTGCTGCATTTACCACCCAAGCTTCACACCCATATAAGAGTGTTGGTACTACTATACTTTCATACATTCCCTTCTTTGCCTCCATAGATAACCTTTTTTGACTCCACATATACGTACCTCAAAGCACCACTCGCCTTTTTCCCCCTCATCAATTCTATGATTAACCTCATCCTTCGTAAATCCATCCGCCGACACGTCAACTCCCAAGTATCTGAAAACATTCACTTCTTCTATACTCCTCCTCCCCAATTTGATATCCAATTTTTCTTTATCGAAACCATTAATACCCTCATCACCTTACTCTTTTCTATGTTCACTTTCAGCTTTCTACCTTTACACACATTCCCAAACTCATCCACTAACCTTTGCAATTTTTCTTTAGAATCTCCCATAAGCACAGTATCATCAGCAAAAAGTAACTGTGCTGCGAGTATTGTCAAATATTATACAGTGGTATGTATCAGCCGGCCCAGCCCAGCTACCAGATGTACGGTCGTAAGTCGAGTGGACGTATGTCGAGCAGGTCGTAAGTCGGATGGTAGGTGTATATAAATTCTGAATCCCTTCACAAAATATTACCCAGCTCATACTCCAACAGCTCATCAGGTCCCCAAACACCATTCATCTCCATTCACTCCCATCTAACACGCTCATGCGTGCTTGCCAAAAGTCCAAGCCCCTCAACCACAAAACCTCCTTTACCCCCTCCCTCCAACCTTTTTGAGTGTTGGAGTGTGAGCAGGGTAATATTTAGTGAAAGGATTCAGGGAAACCGGTTATTTTTTATATAGCTGGATTTGAGTCCTTAAAAAAAAAAAAAAAAAAAAAAATGGAAAATACAATGCCTACACTTTAACCCTTTCAGGGTCAGTCCCGTAGATCTAAGGCTTTACGTTCAGGGTCCAAACCGTAGATCTACGTCATGAGCTCAGCTCACTCTGATAAACTGCGAGTGGTAAATTTGGGCCTAGATATGAGAGAATACATCTATGTGGTATGTGTGCACCACATTAAACAAATCCTGCAGCACACTGTGTATGAGAGAAAAAAAAATTGAGACCGTGATTTTCGATTAAAACGGCGACTTTGCAGTGTTTTTTGTATGTTTTTATAGTTGTATTTGTGATTTCTTGGTCTCATTTGATAGAATGGAAGACATATTTAGCACCAGAAATGGCTTGAAACCGAGCTCAAAGTGGCGGAAATGTTAGATTTTTGCTGGTGTTCAAGAGTAAACGAACGACCTCACACGTCTAATACACGCCAGCTGGTGGGTCTAATATACATTCACAAATGTGGTGATGATATTTATACAATTATTACAATATTGCATAACAGTAAATCTATTTTTTGGTGTGAATTAAAATTCATTATGTGAATAAAAAATCAAAATGGAATTTATTTGTAAAGCCTCAAAACAAAACTAATGAACAGAGGAAATGTTAGTTTAGTGCCAGGAATACCTACATTGTTTATTCTGGACCCTATTTTGAAATTGTAATATTTTGAACTTTGTGTTAAATTGGCCAAATTACCAATTTCCAGTCACTTTATTTTGTAGTTGAAAGGGTTGACTTGGCGATTTCTTGTGCTCAATCGATCGAATAGAAGTAATACTAGTCAAATAGCTAAGAATTTGGTCGACTGGAATAATGTAATTGGCCTAAAATGGGAGTCAAAGTCGGCAAAATCGCCGATTCGTAAATATCACTGACTCTTCAAAATTCATGAGAGCGTAATTTCGTCAATTTTCCATCAAAGATTCTCTACCATTTCATAAGAAAAAATAATTTTTTTTTTTTAAATTCTTGGACACTGGGGCACCACTTCAGATTTGGGCCTTGGACCCTGAAAGGGTTAACCCTTTGAGGGTTTTCGTCGTACTAGTACGTTTTTACGCGTAGGGGTTTTTGACGTACTAGTACTCATAAATTCTAGCGGCCTCAAATCTAGTGGGAGAAAGCTGGTAGGCCTTCATATGAAAGAATGGGTCTATGTGGTCAGTGTGCACAGTCTAAAAAAAATCCTGCAGCACACAGTGCATAATGAGAAAAAAAAAACTTTGACCATTTTTTTTGAATAAATCAGCGACTTTGCAGTGTATTTTCGTATGGTATTTATTGTTGTATTCTAGTTTTCTTGGTCTCATTTTATAGAATGGAAGACATATTACAGAAATTGAGATGATTTTGAACTGGTTTTACAAGAAAGGTGCCTTGAAATTGAGCTCAAAGTAGCAGAAATGTTCGATTTTTACCAAACTTCAAAAGTAAACAAATCGTGCCAAGCGTGCAATACACGTCAACTGGCGAGTCTAATATTTTTCACAAGTGCACCAATAATATTTATACCATTTTTTACACTAATGCAGTAGTCTGCATAACAGTAAATCTTATATTTTTGTGAAAATAAAAATTCAAAGTGGAAAGCAAAAGAATATAAGAGGGGACTTGAGACATGACTAATGACTAGAGGAAATGTCATTTTAGTGCCAGGAATGTCTTTCTTGTTTATATTCTGGACCCTATTCCGAAATTGGCATCTTTTGAAATTTGTGTGAAATTAGCAAAATTGCTAAATTCTGACCACTGTACTGGATAGTTGAATTTATAAATGAGTGGTTTCTTGCATCCATTCGATAGAAAAAATGGAGTTCTAGCGAAATATTCATGTTTTTTGTCGACTAGTACAGTGAAATTGGCCGAAAATGGGGCTCAAAGTGGGCAAAATCGCCGATGCGTAAACATCGCCGAGACCGCTAACTTTGCGAGAGCATAATTCCGTAAGTTTTCTATCAAATTTCAAACTTTTGGCGTCTTTATGATCAGGAAAAGATTCTCTATCTTTTCATAAGAGAAAATAATTTTTTTTTTTTTAAATTTGGCCGACCCTGAGAACGAGTTTCGGAGAGGGCCTGTCGACCCTCAAAGGGTTAAAGGAGGGGTTTGCGATATTGATAGTTTGGAGGGTCTTCTAAGCTGTCATATCTGAGCGCCTCTGCAAAGACAGTGATTAAGTATGAGGTTAAAGTGTTGAATGTTGATTAAAGTATTTAATTTTTGGGGATTTTTTTTTCTTTTTAGGTCACCCTACCTCGGTGGGAGGTGGCCAACTTGTTGGGAAAAAAATATAAATTTTGTGCAAAACATTCACCTGTATTGCACCATTCCACAATTCTCACTTCTGATGGCCAATACCTACTTCTCACTTACACTATCTTTGTTCTACACCAACTATTTATAAATTAAAAAAAATACCAAAAATAAATAAGCACAAAAAAATATGCATACCTGCAAAATGGACTTGAGTCTGTTGATCTGTGTCTGGAGCTTCTGAATGTGTTGTTCCACATCAACAGCAACACCATCTGAACCCCCCTCCTCAAGTTGCCTAAACACACAAGATAAATCATGTAACTCAATAGATTTGATTTAGTCATACTACAGTACCATACAATTAACCAGAGAAGTAAACTATAGAAATTAGAATGGTCATAATACAGTGAGAAAATACTACACTACAGTAAGTAACAGAAAAATGCAAAAGAAGGCAGACAAATCCTCAGTTTCCTAACAAACTAGTCTAGGAGTAATACTTAAAAATGTAGCTTAACAAGAAAGATTATTAATACACTTCATATATGAAGGCATAATTTTTTTCAGCAAAGGAAAGAATCAGTGTCTCAAAACATTCTAATTTAACTATTTTGCTCTATTATCTTCACTATTTTTCCAGTTCATCTAATATCAACTCTGAATGAAGAAAATATTTTTCATTCGTGGCTGTTTTTCCGGAAGTTTAAGAATATCACAATTCAAATGACTTGCCAAATGGCAACATTCATGTCCAGCCTTCAGAATACACGCACTGTACTTGTTATCTTCACAACTTGTCTGGCTAACTGGTTTACCTATAAACCATCATGGATATTACTTTGCTGATACTCCAGCAGCATGTTAAATTTCAAAAGCCATTATAATTAAACATGTACTATTCTTAAGCTTTGTAAAATACTATTTGCTTTAGCTCCTGAAATTTTTCAGCATGTTATGGGGTTAGTGTTCCAAAAACTAATTCTAAAAGTCCTCAAAAATTTAATACTGTAATTAATGTACAGTCTTAGATTTTATACAGGTTACCCATATTTTAAAAATAGTATTTATTTTGCTAATTGCCTCTCCTTACAACTATTTACAACTAGTACTATAATTACATAAAATACTATCTTGGAAGCCAAGACTGCTAGTATTTAATATGAGGGGATTTGTACACTGGCTTACAAGGTTGTCATCATGATGACTTTTATCATCCAATGACTTGAGGCCAATGGTGCAACCATGGAGAAACGGGGTGGCAGCTAAGAGGGCTAAAGCCATCCCCTCAGATGCAAACATAAACCTTTTAGTTTTTCAATTAATGGCTAATTTTCACTATTATACTGATTAGTGACCAAAAAAAGCATGATAGTTTAAGAAATTTCTTATACTGAAAGTAATGTTATAATTAAAAAATTATTTCTTGGATTTTCTTTTCTGCATCTGATTTTTAAATCCTCCAGATCAAAGTACTGGCTGCACTTCTGCTTAAAGCACACATCTGTTCACCATTTCGTACACTTTTCTCAATCATTTACATATTACTAATAACTAATCTACACAATTAAAATTTCCAAAATATTATTCAAATGTTACTACATTCATATTCATGAATTTTCTCTTCCTATTCTGGTTCTCCACCTTTAAAGTCATTCCAATTTCATTACAAGTAAAATGCCTGCACTTTAAACAAGGGGTTTGGGATATTAGCTATATGGAGTGACAGCTAAACTGTCGTATCTGAATGCCTCTGCAAAGACAGTGATTATGTATGAATGATGGTGAAAGTGTTGAACGATGAAAGTGTTTTTTCTTTTTGGGTCACCCTGCCTCAGTGGTAAATGGCCAATGTGTTAAAAATACATACAGCCTCTCCTCACTTAGCGACTTACTCGCTTACCGACGCCTCGAACCTATGACAGGCTCTGACCAGTATTCATACCTAAATGTATATTTGAGCTGATTTCCTCTATTCTGTTTATTTAACTATACAGTACACTACTGTATAAACATTTAAAAATATACCAGAAATGTTATAAATGGTGCAAAGGTGACATTAAAACAATATCAAAGATGGTTGACAAACCATCTCCTCAATGATGGAGCACGAAGCTCCATCATTAAGTGAGGAGAGGCTGTGCAAGTATATTATGACACGCATGAACCATGTACAATATGCGCATTAATAAATTTATGGGGTAATGCTAAACTCAGAAGGCTCATACAGCACCTGGAGAATGAAAGGGGTAGGGAGTCAGGTCTGATTTAAAGGCAAGGGTAGCTCCAATTCCTCAGAGCAAGAGCCCTTCATCAGGATCAAGGTACACCCCTTGAAAGGTACAGTATCAACAGGAATTTTTACCCAGTTAGAACATTTACAAAAAAAATTTAAACACAAAGCCATTAAAATGAAATGTTTACCTGTGTCCCTCCTCGAGATGCATTATCACAGAGTGAATTTGATGTCGGGGAGATGTGGGCAGTATAGTTGGCTCAGCTGTATTGCTAGAGTCGCAACCCCGTTGGTCCTCATCTTCAATACTTTCCTCAGAATGTGCAGAATCAGTGTCTTGGGAGGCATGGAGAATAGTACGCGAGTAAAGCTCTTCATCACCCTCACTGCTCTCACACCATGACCCTCTGGCTTCTCCCTCACACAACAAACTGGTCCTGGAGAAAATATGGGTTCAAATATATGAAGCTATCAAGTGCCTACTTCTGCAGATTACCCTGCCTTTGTGAGAGATGGCCATAGGCTCTCAAAACAGGCGACAGGTAAAATACATTTCAAAACCGGGCAATCAGGTTTGATCCAAGGAAGGAAAGGACATGCACACTTCCTTAGATCAAAGAGCCCTTTACTGGTATTAAGGCACCCTCCCTCAGTTTGGTTACAGATACTGTCACTGGTATGTCTGTGTCAAGCATTACAAATAGTATTACAAAAGAAGAAAGTAAGTTTCAGTAGATTAACTTGGTACTATTTTTTTTTTTTTTAACAAGTTGACCATCTCCCACCGAGGCAGGGTGACAAAAAAAAAAAAAACCTTTCATCATTCAACACTTTCACCTCATTCATACATAATCACTGTTTTTGCAGAGACACCCAAAACACAACAGTTTGGAAGCATATACCTGGAGTTTACCTGGAGAGGGTTTCGGGGGTCAACGCCCCCGGCCCAGTCTGAGACCAGGCCTCATGGTGGATCAGGGTATGATCAACCTGGCTGTTACTGCTGGCCACACACCAGCTGAAATATGAACCACAGCCTGGTTGGTCAGGTACTGACTTTAGGTGCCTGTCCAGTGCCTTCTTGAAAACACCCAGGGGTCTATTGGTAATCCCCCCTTATGTATGCTTGGAGGCAATTGAACAGTCTTGGGCCCCGGACACTTATTGTGTTCTCTCGGTGTACTCGTGGCACCCCTGCTTTTCATCGGGGAAATGTTGCATCTCCTGCCAAGTCTTTTGCTTTCATAGGGAGTGATTTTCGTATGCAAGTTTGGTAACAATCCCTCAAGGACTTTCAAAGTGTATATTACTATGTATCTCTCTCACCTGCGTTTGACTGAATACAGATCAAGGACCTTCAACCGTTCCCAGTAGATTAGGTGCCTTATCGCACTTGTGTGTGCTGTGAAAGTTCTTTGTACACTCTCCAGGTCTGCAATGTCGCCAGCCTTTAAGGGGGCCGTTAGTGTACAGCAGTATTCCAGCCTAGAGAGCACAAGCGATTTGAAGAGAATCATCATGGGCTTGGCGTCCCTAGTTTCGAGGGTTCTCATTATCCATCCTATCATTTTCCTAGAGCATGAGGTAGATACATTCTTGTGGTCTTTGAAGGCGACATTCTCTGACATTATCACTCCCATGTCCTTCACATTACTTTTCCGCTCTATTGTAAGGTTAGAATTTGTGGTATACCCTGACATTTTTAATTTCAAGTTTTCCATACCCGAGTAGTTGAAATTTCTCCTCGTCGAACTTCATATTGTTCTGAGTGGCCCATTCAAAGATTTGGTTGATGTCCACTTGGAGTCTTGCAGTGTCTTCAATGGAGGTCACTGCCATGGTGATCCGGGTGTCATCCGCAAAAGACACGGAACTATGGCTTACATCTCTATGTCAGAAATGAGGATGAGGAATAGAATGGGAGCGAGTACTGTGCCTTGTGGAACAGAGCTTTTTACCATGGCTGTCTGGGACTTTACTCTGTTTACTATTACTCTGTGTTCTATTTGTCAGGAAGTTGTAGATCCATCTACCAACTTTTCCCATTATTCCTTTATCCCACATTTTGTGTGCTATTACACCATGGTCACACTTGTCGAAAGCTTTTGCAAAGTCTGTGTATACTACATCTATTTTATTTATCCTCTACAGCATCCAGGACCTTGTCATAGTGGTCCAGTAGCTGGGACAGGCAGGAGCGACCTGCTCTAAACCTGTGTTGCCCTGGGTTGTGTAACTGATGGGTATCTAGGTGGTTGGCTATCTTGCTTCTTAGAACCCTCTCAAAGATTTTTATATGGTATGTTAGTGCTATCGGTCTGTAGCTCTTTGCAATTGCTTTACTGCCACCTTTGTAGAGTGGGGCTATGTCTGTTGTTTTTTTAGTGTGTGTGGGATGACACGTGTCCATGCTCCCTCTCCAAAAAATGCTTAAGGCACATTATAGAGACTTCTTGCAGTTCTTGATGAACACGGAGTTCCACAAGTCTGGGCCTGGGACAGAGTGCATAGGCATGTCATTAACTGCCTCTTCAAAATCTCGTGGAGTTATAATAATATCCGAGAGTTTTGGGATGACCAAATTTTGGGTTTCGTTCATAAAGAATTCACTTGGATTGTCGACCCTTAGAGTGGGCAGTGGATCGCTGAACACTGGGTCATACTGGGACTTTAGTGTCTCACTCATTTCTTGGCTGTCATATGTGTATGTTCCCTCCCGCCTAGCAGGGGCCCCATACTTGACGTTGTTTTTCCCTTAGATTTGGCATAAGAGAAGAAGTACTATTTTGTTTTTGTTTTTCAATTTCCTTTATGGCTTTTAGTTCTTCCTGTGATTCTTGTCTCCTATAAGATTCCTTCAGCTTAAGTTCAATAGTATTTGCAATTTCATTGACCAGCATTTCCCTTCGTATTTCAGATATACTGACCCCATTCAGCAGCTCTGACTCCTCTCCTTCGTCTGTATAGGGAACGTCTCTTTCTAGTTTACATCTTCTCTTTCTTTTTCTTAATGGAATGTGTCTTGAGCAGATCTCAAGAACCATAGAATTCATTTTTTCAAGGCAGATGCTCGGGTCCGTGTTGTTTAGGATATCTTCCCAGCTTGTTTCATTTAGGACATGGTTTACTTGATCCCATTGTATGTTTTTGTTATTGAAATTGAATTTCGTGAAGAGACCTTCATGACTGCTCGCATTTTGCTGGTCTGGAGCGCTGTGCATGTGTGTCTGTACCTCTGTTATGTTGTGATCTGAGTGAATTGTCTTTGATAAAGTTACATTATGTATCAGATCCTCCCTGTTAGTAAAGATGAGGTCCAGCGTATTTTCTAGTCTTGTTGGCTCTACTATTTGTTGGTTAAAGGTGAATTTGTTGCAGATTTAATAGCTCATGTGTGTGAATTTTCATCTGAGCTGCCTCCCAGGGTGATCTCTGCTAAAACATTGCTATACTCCTCCATTTTAGGCATCTCAGGTTGAAATCTAGTAAGATGTTTGGGGAAGGAGTTGGGAGATTTTCCAGATAGTGGTCAGTTTTCTCAAGCTGCTCCTGGAATTGCTGGGAAGTTGCATCTGGAGGCTTGTATACTACCACAATGACAAGGTTTTGGTTTTCGATCTTTACCGCCAAAACTTCAACTACATCTTTCGAGGTGTTTAGTATTTATTATTATTATTATCAAAAAGAAGCGCTAAGCAAGTGTTTAGTAGTTCTGTGCCAAAACCCCCTTCTTGCCTGTTTAGTGTCGCATCAGAATAGGTTATAACCTGGGATCCATATTTCGTTGTCATAATGATCCTTTATGTGGGTCTCTGTGAATGCTGCACACATTGCATTTGACTCCGTGAGCAGTCCCTTGATGTAAGGAATTTTGTTGTTTTTTGACGGCTTTAGACAAATGTCGTGTTGGTGGAATTTAGAGGGGTTTCATTTGCTGCCTCTAATATCTGTTGTTCTGGAGTAGAGGCCAATGTCTGTGCCTCTGCTCCAGAAGTGTTTTCAGGTGGTGTAGAACTATTGTCATTTCTTGCCAGTCTTTTTTTCCTTCTGGCCCTAAAAAACCTGTCCCTGGAAAGGTTGAGGTTCCTCTCTTTCGTTTCCCATAGTCTGGCTGGTCTGTCTTCTAGTCCCCTTTAGATGATATGCCCGGCAGTATGCATTGTAGCATTTTCTTTCATGGATTCACGAGTGACATTTCTGGGTGAAATAAGTTGCAAGAAAGGAAGTTGCACTCTCCTGTTGTCATGTGGCTGCGGCTTTTTTTGGGATGGTCGAAGGTGCATGTCCCACCTGTTTTACCAGATATACCGTGTCTGCAGATACCCAAGGCATAGTATTTACATAGATCGTACTTCTGTTTACTAGGATTTATTGTAGCTGCGTTCACTGCTGGTGCATTTATTTTTCCTGTTTCCTCAACATCTTTTACCCCTGTATGGACATCAGTGCTTCCACCAGGTTTTGCTGGCAGTGTGTTGACACTATTCCCTGAGGCATCATCCCATTTTGATCCATCTCCAGCAGTATCTCTATTTTGAACCTCTGTGGACTGAATAACGTTGTCTTCAGTGTCCTCCAAGACAATACTAGTACCCTCACAAGCTCTATCTTCTAATACATCACTAGGACCCTCTGGAGCACTTTCCTCCAGGACAACACTAGCACCCTCAGGAGCACTTTCTTCCAGGACAACACTAGCACCCTCATCACTGTCCTCCAGGACAGCACTAGCCCCCTTAGGAGCACTGTCCAAGACAGCCCCGTCCCTACCACCCATCTTTTTCCCAGCTGTCATGCCATGCTGACATGTCTTTCAAGAAGGATGTTTCATTGGATTTATTGTCTTTTAATATAGATGTCATTTCCTCGTACAGGTGTATCTTGTTTGGGCAAACCCAAAAACATCTGAGTTTATGTCAAGTGTGGTCACTAGTTTAAAATCCCTGCATATACTATGGGACCACTGACCACACAGATGGCAAGCAATCCAGGCCTGTCTTCGCCCTTTACCCTTTCTGCAGACTACACAGATCTTCGTGGTAGTGGTCCTCTTACAATTCTGGACAACTCTCTTACCTAGTTAGTCTATATTATTATAATCAAAAAGAAGCGCTACGCCACAAGGGCTATACAGCGCTGCAGGGTAGGGAAGGAAGCGAGGGTATTGGATGGCAGAAGGGAGGAGGGATGATCAGTAGGTTACAGAAAACAGCGGGGCAGGGGATAGTACGGGGGTAGAGGGTAGCAAGAGATTGAAGTAGAAAGGGCTGAAGGTATCAGAATTTGTGAAGTAAGTCAGTGGTTGTCAAAAAGTCAATGAGAGAGTCCGGATGAAAGGTGGGTCCATCAGCGAGAAGGGAAGGTAAAGAGAGAGCAGCGGAGCGAAGACGACGACGGAGGTAAATTCTGCGTGCTCGTTGATAAAGTGGGCAGTCCA